AACTTGTGGGACCTGTGCGACCTGGAGGACCTCTGTGGCCTGTGGGGCCTGCGAGACCTGCGACACCTGCGAGACCTGTGAAACTTCCAGGACCTTGTGGGACCTGTGGAGCTGTGGGACCTGCGAGACCTGCGAGACCTGTCGGACCCGTCAAACTGGCGGGACCTGTGGGACCTGCGGAACCTGTGGAACTGTGGGACCTGTGAGACCCTCTGGGACTTGTGGCACCCGGGGGACATGTCGGACCTGCGGGACCTCTGCGGCATGCGAGACCTGCGACAACCGTGGGACCTATGGGACCTGTGAACCTGTCAGGCCAGGCCAGTGGTACCGGTGGGACCTGCGGGACGACCTGCGACACTTGCGGGTCCCGTGGGACCAGGCGGGACCTGTGCGGCCTGCGAGACATGCGAGACCTGTGGGATGCAGTAAAGTGGCCAACGCTGGGGCGGGAACGAAATGCCGAATGACAGGAGCACAGCATCGGTCCGAAAAGTCAGGCCCACGCTGCAGCGAGTCCAAGATTTTCGAAAAACTGCAACAATCGTACTGTTCAACAGAAGCAAAAACAGCACAGAACATATGGAAATCCAGTTTGCTCAAATCCTCTGTAAAAAACCGGATGTGGATGGGGGGACAAACATTCTCTGGACATATTCAGGGGAGAGAGGGGAGGCTAGTACTCATACTGCGCAATGCCTTAGGGGGGGGGATGGAGGAAGGGGATCAAGGGAAGGGCAAGCGATTGCACGCAGCTGCCGTCGCTGGGAGCAGGAGGTGGAGGAGGAGGAGGAGGAGGAAAAGGCCAGGAGGTGGAGGAGGAGGAGGAAAAGGCCAGCGCCCCTGCAAAGGAGGCAGGCGCGCCGCCAGCACGCAGGTCCTCCACGACGACCAGGGCACGCGGGATCTCTCTCTGTCAGCGCCGAGCGCGCCGTAGAAAAGGTTGTTCACTGCCCCAGCACGCAGCCCCACCCAATGCCGTAAGTGGAAGAAGAAAAACAAAACACAAAAAACAAAAACATAAACGTTTGGCGCTCCGCGCGGATTTCTTGCCACTGCGCTGGAGCCCCCTCCCTGGCGCGCGGAGCGCACCAAGGGCGGCGCCAGAGGCGCCGCTGGGGGGGGCCCAACGCGGATCCACCAAATCTTTCGTAGCGCTAAAAGTGAATGTTTATGGCGTTTTTGTCTTTCTCGAGTAAGAGTCCAAGAATTCCAGTGTCGTCCTCAAGTCAGTGGGCATGGCCGAGTGAAGCGAGGTCCGTTTATGGGAAGCCACACTCCCAGAGCAGCACACGCTGCACGTGCCCCACACTCAGATACCATAGGCCCCAAAGAACGCCCTGGGACGGTCCCCGAGGCCCCCGAGAGGGCATAAGAGGCTCCCAAGACTACTTCAAGAGAGGCCCAAGAGAGGGAACTCGAACTGACAATTCCAACCTCCCACCCGAAGATGTCCTCCGAGATAGCCGGGAGGCTCCAAGAGACCCCCAAGAGCCCCCAAGAGGCCCCCAGGGACCCCAAACAGGCCTCCAAGAGGGGTCCTCGCATGCAACTGCTCGCCACTCAGGCCATGGCTTTCGAGCCCCTAATGAATGTAGCAACAGTGTAGGTCTCTGAGGCACCAGGAATAAGAGAACGTAGGAATCAAATGTATGATGAGGAAGTGATAGGCGCTGAGCAAGCGTTCGCCCTTTGAATCGGAACTGTCCAAAGACTGACGACTTACGACTGCCCCAGGCTAGCCCAAGATTGATTGATTGGGCAGCTGATGGCGGCAGCTGTGGCCCTGTAACTGATAGTAGAGACGTGTGGCAAGAGCGACCAGGGCCAGAAAACGCCCGTGCCGGGGCCCGGAAGGGAAGAAGAAGGAGGAGGAGGAGTAGGGAGGAGACGAGGAGGAAGGGAAGAGCCCAAAGGTACTGCAGGAAACCGCATACTGCGAGAGAGCTCAACATGGTCCCCGCAGGAGCCCAACGAAGGCATAACTAGACCCTAGGGGACCTAAGGAGAGCTTCGGGAAGGATTCCGACGGGCATCAGGAAGCTCCAAAACCACCTCAAGAAGGACCTAAGGCAGGCCCAACAGGACACTGGATCCCGAGGAAGCCCCAAGAGGGCCCCACGATGACCCAAGTCATGCTCCCAAGTATTCGGGCACACCTTTCTCGAGGCCATAGCCCAACCCAACACTCACACGTCTGTGCGGATAGTAACACCGGCACGGAATGATAATATCGGATGGAAAGAACTATTCATCTAACGTCGTCAACCCTCCAGTCAACCTCGGTCAACCCTTCTTAACAACCCTGAGGAGTGCTGGAAGCGAGCGGGCACGTTCGGACTGGGCTTTCTGGCATCAACGCTGGCAGCGCCACGACCATCGCGCGCGAGCGGGCAGGCATGGAGTGGGCGCCTTGGCAAAAATGCTGGTCTGGCGATGTGCGCCATAAGCGAGCCGGAACGCTCGGAAAGAGCTTCTTGCCGACAACGCTGGCCATGCGATGTGCGGTGCACGCGAACCGGCACGATTGGAGTACGCTCTCAGGCATCAGCGCTGACAGCGTGATGATCATCGAATGCGAGCAGGAACGCCTGCGGTGAGCTGATCGGCAAAATCCGTATCCTCGTTACCTCCCTCCTCCCTCCTCCCAAGCTCCGTCATCTGCCTCCTTAAATCTCGTCCTACAACGCCTCCTGTCTGTCCTCCACCTCCTCCTGTTCCTCGTCCTTCGACTTCCCATCCTCGTCACCCTCGTCTTTCTCCTCCTCCTCGTGCTCCTTCTCATCCTCCTCCTCCTCCTCCTTCTCCTCCTCCTTCTCCTTCTTTTCCCTTCCTCCTCATTTTCCCTTCCTCGCTTTCCACCTCCCCCACATCCTTCTCCTCCTCATCATCATTCTCCTCCTCCTCCTCCTCC